TAACTTTAGTGGGTGTATCCAATTAAAGACCTGGCTGGAGACTGCATTAACTTGCTCATATCTGTAATTGCTTCCTGTTAACACTGCAGGTGAGGGTTATTATGTGCTTTACAGGGGAGCAACAGGCGCTCTGGTTCTGCCATATGTTATAGATACCCATAAACCGATAACAGTCCTTCATATTTCTTATTTGAAGTTTCTTTAAACAATAGAAAACTGCTTTGACATGCACTTCAACTGCAATAACCATGACTGTTATTCTTGTAATGGATGCATTTTAATTCCAAGTTCAAAAATATTTGACTCTCTTGATGACTAACAGGTTTCAAAATTGGACTCAAATTGTTTTAGAAAGCTCCACCTTCTTGGCACAGATTTATGTACACCTCCTTCAACTATTTATCGTTCGTCCTTTGAACTTCTCCATGTGTTATTATAGGAGCAGGTTGACCTGGCACATGAAGAGAGACAGCTCTAGTCGGTCTTTCATGGCTTGATTTATGACAACACTCTTAGTAACCCCAAGAGAAGCGGAGACAAACACAAGGAGGCATCTTCAAGTTTCATTAGAGACAGCGCGCCGCAATGTTTTTCCTGTCAGTCATCAGGATGCACAAGCTGGGGCCCGTTTGCCATCACAGCCTCCTGAAACTGTGGAATTATGAGCCAGGAATGCCCACTTCAGAGCGCTGCCCAAAATCATTTCGTAGTGCTTTGCAGGGCCCTTGAATGGCTCTTTTGTCTCATCAAGAGGGAGAAGGAGCAAAGGGCCCAGCTAAAACCCTTTAGCATTTACAGCTGAGTGATTTGTGCATGCCAAAGTGTAAAGGATCCAAGCAAAGGGCAAGAAATGACAGACACACAGGAGCACTTACACCCCCCCATCCCGTCCCACCTCCCTGAGGCGTCTGATCATAAAGACATAAAGCAAAGGGATGTGATGAGCCGCCTAAGTGTAACCCCTGTAATTTCTACTGTTACACTTTTAGGGTCGTATAGTTGGCTTGGAATGAAAGCTCACCTGACATCCAGACATTTCCACATACCTTTACACATGTGCACCCGCAGCCTTTGATGATGTACAGATGTCATACCTGAGGGGAGGGAAAGTATGCCTGGGATAAGTTATGAGGTGGCTGACAAGCATTCTACAAGTCGTCTAGTGATGAGAATCTGTAGTAAACATACACTATGAGGACAGCTGGGGATAAATGAATAATTACAGTTTCTTCTGCTGCCAGGATAATTTCCTTAGTGTGTCATCAGTGAACGCATTGAGCTGTTGAGTTGTTGTCATCACATAAATTCATCATGTTTTGATGACAAACAGGAGCTTTGTGATCTCAAACTCAAGTAGCCTACATGCTAAAGTATTAATTATATGTCTTATTGTGAGTATTGGGAAAGCAGGGTGGGTAGAAATGGGCAGAAGTGAAAAAAACTTTACTTTTAAGTTCAAAATTAAAAGGAAAAAGACATGTTTTGCTGTGACAAAAATCAAATGTATAATGTGGATTTATTGACACCGGCAGGTTAGGGATAAAGTTGTGTCAAAGTTTAATGCAGGATCCTTTCAGCAAAGGCTCTCCTGGTTGAAGTGAGGGATGGAACTGATGGCATCAGTGTGTGCGTACTTTTCTCAAGCAGTGCTTGATAAAGTGGTCATTGCTGATAAGAAAAGAGCTTTAAAGCAAATCATAAAGCTCTCATAAAGTTAATTATCTCTGACTGAACTTAATTATTTTAAAATGAAGAAAGAAAACAGGTCTTTAGATGTGCTGACCCTTACAGCTCTGCAAACGACTACAGTAACAATAGCTCCAAAAGGTGAACTTTAATAAAAAAAAAAAATAAAAAAAACACAGAATCTGATTGGCTGATCATCTTTGTTCACATTAAAGATGAATTTTAGTCTGAGTTTCAAGTGTTGTTCAATTTCTATGAGGATTTTTTCTGGGACTGCCATTTGTCTAAACATTCCCCATGTTTCTGCTGCTGAAAAACATCCCAGTAACATGATACTGCCACCACCGTACTTTACAAAGATGAGCTGTTTAAGGGAGATTGTACAAAAACAATAAATAAATAAGTACTGCTTTTTGGTAGTCTGTAATGTGAAATCCAAATGCAATATTAAGGTTTATTGCTGTACCTTGACAAAATATAAAAAAAGGGGGGAAAATTAGGAACTTTTGCAAACCACTTCTTTGTAACTGTAATTGAAAGCAGGGTGCTAAGGGGTTATATTTGACCTCAGTCAATCAAGTATTGTGAGAAAAGATGAAAGCTAGCGCCAGTTAAACACCACCAGATAGACTGGAGTAAATTTAGTCCCGAAAGCTGCAGAGAGACAAGTAGAGATTGTTAAAAAGCCTTCAGCAGATGTAGATTTCATTGGTCCATATGTCACTGTTTTGTTTCCTTAAACGGAGTCAAGTGTGCATCTCTGCTGCTGTCAGTTGTGAGAGTCTTACATCTGTTCTTCGTCTGCCTGTTAATAGACATTTTCAGCATGGATCAGAGATGGCAATCAGTAAGCATTTTAATCATCGTAGTGGTGCTGTGGTGGGACAAGAACTAAACATGTGCTCACCTTTCTTCTCTGTGATTACAGTAAACATGAAATCCTGGCTCGATAAAAGACAACTTTTACCAAGGAAAACATCAAAAACTTGTAGCTGAAGGATCGTCTGAAAAGCCAACAAATGAGATGCAGACTGATCCGAATGCGGTTCACACATCTGGGCGATTCAAAGAGCTATTGTCGGAGCGTCTAAACAATACCAGCCTTCATCTCAGCTCGCCTGTCAGGATCAGGCCAGTCAGAGACACAGTGGAGGATTTTAGTTTCCTTGCTGCAGGGAGGTGGGGTTGTGTTGTGTTTGGGATAACTCTGAGCAGGCGTTGACTCAGCTGTTGTTCCATCGGGTGTCGAGGCATCAGGGATGAAAAGAAGTTAGGGTGCTCAAACACCTTTAAAAAACAGATGAAAGGCAGGATAGTTGCTGTGTCTGCGAGGGAAATCATAATTACGTGCGTTGCAGTCGGCTCTGGCTACTACTCCTCTGTGATAGAGCGGTGAGTCACAATAAAAGAAAAAAAAAGGTGGCCCTCAATAGATCCAAGGAGAGGCAAGTCAGATCAAGGAAATGGAAGCGTAAACTCCGGTTTATCATTACAATCGCTGCCAGCGGCTTTTATTAGCTTTGAGGGAGGAAAATAATACTCTTGACTCAATGAAATGCTTTACAGGCTTATTTCCATGTAGTCGCTTCCTCCCAAAATGTAAAAACTGGCACTTTGTAACGAATCTCATCATAAACCCTCAGGCAGAGGCAATGATACTTTAACTGATTTACAGCGGGAATGAATGAACTGTTACTTTTCTTCTTTGCTGATATTAGAGCTAATCAGATATAAATGCAGAATGTTCTTTTACCCTTTAGCCTGTTGAAAGCGGCTAATTTTAAAATCGTTATCCTTAAAGACTGAGAATTATACTTGTCTCTGCTCACCAAGGCAGAATTACATTTCTTACTTGAGTTAAAGAAGCTGTAATAAAATCCAGCGCTGCTTAACTAGGATTGAGAAGGAAAAAAAATAGAATTCATGTCAGATTAAGGGCATACTATGCAACATTTTTCAGTTAATTAATGTGTTCCATAAAGTTTTGGATGATTAAATGAGTCATATCAGGTCGAACAAAGGTATTCTCGGCCGCCCTGGTGGTCTGTAGGGGAAATACCGTACTTGTAATTGCATGAGCCCTCGGCCCGCACCCACAGGCTCAGAAGTCTCGTGCATCGCGAGAGTCGGTCTTGCTTTACGGCGAGAACTGCTACACGCCCCCAGTGAAAGGCATGCTCGTTGCTAGCGCAGTGGCGATATTTGTGCAGTTATCATGGTTAGTTAACATGCTAAATTTTCAAACTCGAAAATTGGAACAAAATAGTCACTTACCGCAGTAGACATGGTGATTCATTGTGTTCGCCTGTCTGCTAAGCTCAAAACAACCGCACCTGGCTTGACAGAGAAACCAGGAGAACAGCTGAGCATTTTTACGACAGTGCACTTTCACTTTCACCCTCTGGGGGGAGCCTCGCTGGTTCCATAGTATACCTTTAAATAATAAAACTTATATTTCAGCAATAGTATCTATGTGTTACTTTATTGTATATCTCGTACCATGTCCGTTGGTTGTGCTGTTCTTTTTACATCTCTTTGCAGGTGATGAAGCAGACTGAAGATGTTTTATCGTTATCTCCCTTTTATCTCCTTTTTCTCTAATCTTTTCAAATTGTTTCAGTTTTTCCTTTCCTGTTCTACCTACATTGCAATGTCCGTATAATCTGTAAAACTCCCTGCATAATTTTAATAAAGCAATTTATATGCATAAATCAAGCGGAACACTATGGTGATAGCCGTACTGCTCCACTTATGAAAGTAAAATCTGTTGGACTCTTTTTGGCATCAAGATTATTCTTATTGCCACATCACCAGACAGGACACTTTGAAAAAAAAAAAAAATAGTGATTTCAGGATGATATGCAGAACCAATAGGTTTTAAACCCCATAAATGATGTATGGTTTGTGGCGTGCATGCATAATAGCTATTGTTATTTGCAATGTGGATCTCTGCAGCTCCTCCAGAGTTACCATGGGCTTTTAGGCTTCCTCTTGGGTTAATGCTCTCCTTGCCATCCTCTTACTGTGGGTAAGAGGAAAATACTCAATGCAGTGTGTTTACTAATATTCTCTAGCAAACCTTTGATGTTCTTCCCAGAACAGCTGAATTCATTCACTATGTTTTCTTCTTTCCATTTCCCAAACTACCGTTTGTTGTTCTATCACATAAAATTCATTAAAGTTTGTGGCTTTTTAAAGTCAAAGGCGTTTCAATACATTTGCATGACTCAGTTGTTTATTTGTTTTTTTGCATGTTACATAGCCGACTTTAACAAGAGTGTTCTTTTTTTTTTCGCAGGGCAGAAATGAAAGGGCGTAGCTTGAATGAAGCACAGAGACCTGCCATCTATGGACTGCTGATTTTTTTTTTAAAGCTGTTATTTTCTACAGGAGTCAAAACTAAAGCTTCAAACCAAAATGGACATTTAAAGGGCTGAAGCTGTTCAGTATTAACCAGGACAGAACAGAAATAAACGCCTCCTCCACCTCAGATACTGCAGCAACCTTTTATGGATTAAAAAACAAGCGCAAAGAAGCTGTTACTAAATACTTTGTAAGACTGAAACCAAAACAGCTTCTGGAATGACCTTTTCAGAGTGAATTTTTTTATTTTTTTGCATGCAGGCAGGAAGTAATATACACATTGTTTCCCTTTACATCACCCTAGCCTTATGATCTCCAAGATAAAGAGCAGATCCTTTTCTTGGAAGGAAAAGTAATCTGTGGGCTGCAGACTGAGACGCAAACAAAAAGCATGTTCTGCTGACCAAAATAGAAGAGGAGAGGAAGAGAAGAGAAAAATCTGGGAAGGGGAACAACTGGAGAGTTTCACCGCCCTCTGCTCCACATCTTTGGTTGTTTTCTCAACGGGAATTCTTCCAAGGGACGTTGAATTTGACCCTCTGGGGGGTCCAATCAGACTGAGATAAACACTTCATGAAGGAAGAAAGTCAGAGAAAACTCTTTACGCCATTTCAGCCACCCGCTTTGGGACAGAAAACATCTGCAAAAGGAGTCATGCCTGGAGGCAGGAACCTGAAGCACTGAAGTGTTTTTTAACGTTCTCAGGTTTTAAGGTGTTTAAACATTTTTGTTGACGAGCAGACTCACATTGAAGGATCGGATTCTGATAACGATGGAGAAAGCACATACATCTATAAGGAGGGGAGAGAGCTGGAGTCCAGGAGGATTGAGAAAACCTAATGAGTCAAAGCAAGAAACACACCCCTCTGAGACTGACTACAACACGTCCTGGGAGAAAACGGGATTCAGCGAACAGCACATGAGTCGGAAAACAAGTAAGTGGATATTTTATTTGCTGATCTGTGGTTTTATTTTAGATGCCAAATGATGCGCCAAAAAATTGACCGCAGAAAAAGAAAACCAACAGAAGGATTTGTTAGGACTAGTGTGGCTTGGACTGACCTGAGAATAAAAAGACTTGGAGCTGACAACACTAGGAAGAAAAGGTCCAGACTTGTCAGAGCAACCCGACACAATGAAGAGCTGCATGAAACATCTGCTCCTGGGAAACCAGAAACTGAAATGCAATCATAGACAGCATGTCTTATTATACATCTCGGAAGCTGACAATCACGGGCTTGGAGTTGTGGGAAAAGCTTCTGGGAACTGTACTTTCACATCCGTCTTCTTTTACTTCTCACTAACGCACAACAAACTCCCCAAATTTTTTTTTAAAGTTGACAGGCTATAACAACAACTGAGGAAAACACTGCAACATAACAAGAAAAACAACTTCCTCTGGGCAGAGTGAGGCTCTCTGACACACCACTCAGACTGAGTAATTGGTCATTGTGCATTATTTTAGAAATGTCACTGCCATTTAAAAAACCACCTTATCTAGATCTATAGCCTGTGTGCTACCAACACCCTTCCAATCACTCATTATCCTATAATTGGCTTCCTCCAGGCCCTGAAAACACAAAGAAGCTGATACAAACTTACTATTTCTTTGTTGAAATAGTCAAACATGAAGTAAAAAAAAAAAGAAGAGAAACAATATTTGGTTTCTGCCCCCTGGTGTTGGGATTTGATTCAACAGTATCTTGCAAAAGTATAATTTATTACTTTTTAACGTGGGAACGGGGTCTTTGAACAGACGCTCCTTTAATCTCAAAGGGTCTCAAAGAGTTTATAATAATAATAAGTGAACTTTATTGATCTAACATTAGAAAAATTTAACTCTGTATTTAACCCATGCCCTTCGGGAGCAGTGGCTGCCATCGTGCAGCACCCAGGGAGCAGTCTGGGGTTAAGGGTCCTTCTCAGGGACCCAGAGTGGCAGTCTGTGGGAGTGGGACTCAAACTCAGAACCTCAGGATTCCAAGCTCTATGCCCTGACCCCTAGGCCGCCACTCCCCCGCGGCCAAAGATCTTACAGGTATAACTGCAGGTGAGGGTTATTATGTGCTTTACAGGGGAGCAAACAGGCGCTTTGGTTCTGCCATATGTTATAGATACCCATAAACCAATAACAGTCCTTCATATTTCTTATTTTAAGTTTCTTTAAACAATAGAAAACTGCTTTAAAAAGCACTTCAACTGCAATAACCATGACTGTTATTCTTGTAATGGATGCATTTTAATTCCAAGTTCACAAATATTTGACTCTCTTGATGACTAACAGGTTTCAAAAGTGGACTCAAATTTAATAAATTCTCAAATATTTTAGAAGTTTATCATAGTATTATAGTGGCTAAAATGGCTGGATCAGACATGGTTAACTAGGTCAATAGGTAAACTTTATGTTGTGGCATAATAACCCTTTAAATGCACCATTTCTATTTTTTTTCCAATTATAATTCAATAGATGTACAGAGTCATTGTACAAGGCTTGTACAATGATTCTGATGTGATTTGAACAAGCAACCATCTAAACTGGAGTCAGACGCGCGACCGTTGCACTATTTATGCTATGAATAGAGAATGTTATTATCCGGATACATTAACAAAGATGATAATTTGCGTTTTTTATAATTATAATAATAATACAACTCCAGAAAACCTCACAAGACCCTGTTATTGCTCTGCTGCGATTGGTGCAGAGCAGCTTAATAATAGGCTCCCCGGTGATGCGCTGCCTACTAGTGGCTGGAGGGTTAACGGTTTCACTGAAATGGATGTTTGATTATAAAATTATTTACTTTTAAAAGACATATTTTGTATCAGTAAAAATCGCATGTATTGATTTGACAGAATCAACACACTGAAAAACTTTTACCAATTTAATCCATCACCCTGCATGGTGAAAAACACTCAGCATCAGTAATTTCTCACCTTTTCATTTGTTCTTAGAAATGTGAACGTGCTGGTGAAGATTCTTAGTCATCCAGCTCATAGTCAAAAAAAAAACAATCCCCTGGACTTTGTTTCCATCCTGAATGGGAAGCGAAATTTGGAAGCAAAGTCCACTGGATTGTTTTTTTTACTCTTATAAGGAATGTGGACATATTATGAGACTCAGGCAAATTAAGACACCATGCGGGTCCCATTTGGTTGTAACGTTACTGAAACAAGAGTTTAATGCATCAAATCGATTTTAAAAGCTGTAATGGTTATCCATTATCTTTTGGTTATTTTTCAAAACATAATAAATATTTTTAATGACAGATTTTGCTATTTTTTTTTAAAGAAGAATCTCCAAATTCTACATCAAAACTGAATCAAGGGATTTATGACCCCTACCCATATTGAAAACATTGGTAAAGACCACATAATTTACGTCCAAACAACGTCTACATTTGGTAGAATGGTGAAAAGTGAAAAGCCGTAATTTATGGGTTTGCAACGTCGATCCAACAATGTCTATTATTGGACTAAAGTGGGACAAAATCAGACGGACCAAACACACCCCAATTTTAAAACAAGACTATGATGGATCGATCAGATTTAGCCTAAAAACCGATGTCTAAATGAGGTGTGGTGTTTGAGGAGTACTAATTATGTTATAGAGTCCTCTATAATAAATAGATATGTCAGTGAACTATCCTCAAATGTTTTCTTATTTCTGTTTGGACCATTGAAGTCATCAGGTAGGGAACTTCATTGGTTCTGATAGTGTATTCACCCATATCACCTCGATTGGAAAAAAAATGCAAAGCCATCGCAGAAATAAAACCAGAAGGAGCCCAGTTTAAAATTTGCCTCAATCCACGTAGGGGACACAACATGCATGTGGGAAAAAACAAAAAACACAAAACTTAATTGACATATGGAGGAAACCTAACACTATTACATTGATCAAGCTCGCTTGTCAAAGCCTGTTAAAGTCAAGCCGCTTGTCTTTGTCAAGGGCAGGAAGGCTGTAACCTGACTCCGCCAGATGGATTTGCTCCGCATATCCATCTGGAAACCTTCCGTAGAAGTAATTTTGGGAAAGGGCGAAAATACTGGTTAGCTGATTGGCCTATGTTGGTGATAGACGGGCCAAATAAACCAATCAGATCAACGAAGCATATGACGTAACAGAGCGACGACGAAGAGGAGCCAATTGATAGATCAAACTCTTGCCGAAACCAGTCGGGAGAAGAGCAAAAACATCTTTTCCTCTGAGAAAAGCCTCCAGAGCAGTGTTTTGCTCTTCTTTCAGTGAAGAAATACTCTGTAATTCAGATAAAATTTGCTCGATAGCCACGCTAACGCTAGTTTCATCGGCTGAAGCAGCCATGTTCTTTAGACTGAACTGTCGCGCTTCTTGTTGTGTCACACCTCAACCCGCCTCAAAGTCAACGCTGATTGGACGTTCGTTTGGTGAACGGCTCCAAATTTTCTTCAACGAAGAGTCTCCAGACTGATTAGAGAGTGAAACCTTGAAAGCTCGCGAGATTAGGATGGTCTCATAAGGTTAGGAAGGCTGCCTATATTAGATCAGATGATACAGGACAGCTGTGAAAGGAAGCCTGTTTAAAGGCTGGGATGTTGGTTCACCTGCTAGAGGGAGGATGACTGTGATTATAAAGCCAGAGCTACGATGTTTGGTTAATTACTATGAATAGGCCAGTCAAGGTAAAGACATAAATAAAATATAAAATCTGTCGCAACATCTAAAATGATATATTTTCACAGATCCTCTCTGTTTCTTTGCGATAATGAGTCATTAAAGAATGTTGATTGGTAGGTATGAAAATCTGGTAAAATGATTCACCAAAATAGGGGCATATGTCACCAGATCAGAGTTATGTAATTAAATGTTTGAAGAACATCTATCATTTTGTCTTCCTTTTAAAATTATACATCCCTTTGTTTCACCCTGTTTCATTAAAAGGTAATTTATTTTATTTTGTTGCTAAAAAATGTCACCATTTTGCAAGACTCAGCTTTGAGTTTAGGCCTGGCTCAGTCTGGTGGGACACACGCCCCCTCTGTTAATCCCCATCTTTCCATTTCATTTCACACATGGCCAGCGGGGTCCTGGGCTGTCATCCCACTCCCCTCCCAGCCATCAACCCGGAGAAAGATAACATCCGACAGGGTAATCTGACCTTTGATACACAAATGTAGGGTCGGCCCCCTAGACTTGAATTCTGCTGCTGTTGGGGGAAGTCTTCCTGTCTGCTCCTCTCCGCACAGGGGATGGGGGGAACAGGAGAGCAGGGATGGAGGAAAATAGAGAAAGTTCGGAGGGGTGGGCAATATGATGCAGAACTCCTCGCATTAAGACAGGAAATTCCTGTCCTGCCTTTGCAGATTGGAGTTTAGAGTTCAAAGAGGGCAGACACTTGGTCTGAGGGAATGCTCCGTTAGCATACATGGCATATCCCGACTGATGGGGAGGGCAGCAGGGGTCAGGTGCTGGAGCTCTGGAGCCTTGCTGGTCTAATCCATGTAAACATAAGCTGAGGTATCTTTTGGTTGCACTTCAAAGATTGTAGCAAAGGGTCAGAGGCTCCCCTGCCATCACAGGACATTTCAGAGATAAGCTGCTCAAAACTCACCGTTGACAGGACACTTCTTTAAAGCTGTCAAAACAAAGATGAATCTTTCTGCAAAAACTGCCGCTGAAACATTAACACACTTTCCCGACATCAGGGACACACTTCACTCCCTCCATTTTATCAATTAGTGAAAAGCACACGATAGCAGTGTTACACAATTGGAAAAAAATAAAACTAAAGTGGTGGTTGAGTGGCAGATGGTGTGGCCTCCAGCTACAAACCCTCCCTCCTTTCCTTTCCTTCCCTCTCTCTCCCAGCCTCTCTGCCTGTCCTCCCTGCCGGACTGCAGAGAAAAAGAAATCCGATCTGTGTCTTGCTCCAGAAAAGGAGGGGGGGGGAGGTGGTGTCAAGCCATCAGACGCAGTTAAAATTGAAAACTCTTGTGCAAGTACTACAAGACAGCGGAGGTCTGAGATGTGACATGAAAAAGGTAAGAGGGGTTAGTCGGCGATGTGGATCTAACAGAAAGACAAACTCTCAGGGAACGTGTGAGGATGTTCTTTGGTTTGAATTCAAACAGAGGAGCAGTTGTCTCTGATTTGAGAGGAAAGGTAACCTGTCGGTTTTTATGTGTTACTTTGTCTACAAACTTAACAGGGAATTTTTATTTTTCATTGACTGGATTCTGCTGGTTTGATATGTGACCTATTGTGCTTAGAGTTTCCTCTATGTATTATTTTGGTTATATTTTGTACATTGAATTTATATAAAGAAAAACAGAGAAGAAAAGATGTTTAAGTCAGCATTTATTTCCTTTTAGTCTCTAATGTGTTCTGCACCTGTATGTCAGTTGATAACCATCAGGCCTCCGTTAAAGTAGACATGCAACATTTGGACCGTCGATTTCAAGCCTTGCAGCCCTGGTGTCTGTCTGTCTGTCTGATAATACATAATATAAATATATAACTCTTTTATTGCAGGTTAGTTATGTTGATTTAATTTAATTTGTAAATAAAATGACATTTGAGCTTACATAAGACCCAGGTAGCGCAAGGTAAATTTATTTGTGTAGCACATTTCAGTAGCAACACACTTTGAAGTTCTGTAAATAATAGAAAAACTGGCAGAGCTAAGTACATTACAAGATAATACTAAAAATAACGATGATCAAAATAAGTGATAATAAAATAGAAGTTGAACTACAAATTAAATGATGCTTCAAAAGCAAAGTCAGAGTGTAAAAGTAGCACACAGCGTTGTAGATAGTGATATAGACGTACATATTATTAGAAGCAATAAAAATAAACCTTTGTAAAAACGAAATCTCTTTATATATATATATATATATATATATATATATATATATATATATATATATATATATATATATATATATATATATATATATATATATATATGTGTGTGTGTGTGTGTATTTAAAATTCAGTTTTAAAAATTTAAATACATTTAATTCAGGTTGGCACCCTCTACTTGTGCTGGAGCAGCACAATTCTGACCTTATATACCAATAAAACCTGTATTTTTGTGTGTATATATATATCTATATATATATATATATATATATAGATATATATATATATATATATATATATATATATATATATATATATATATATATATATATATATATATATATATATATATATATATATTTTACATCTGAATAGAATATTTTTAAAATAAACTAGCTGTACCACAAAATGAATTCAAACATTTAAAGTAGACGAAAAGTCTGAAAAGTGTATAATATTCATTTTTTGTTGTGTGAACAGTGTGATTATGTCATGAAAGACTATTTATTGAATCTAATCCTCATGAAAGATTTAGAAGAGATTTATTTACTCATACTGTGCCTGATGCTAGGTTAGGTTAAATATTAAAGCTGTCAGGATCGTTGAGTACTGATATATCTTGATACCATCGCTGGTAATGCGAAGGCTGTGCCAACTTTTTGGAAAAAGTCCTCAAAGAACCTTTGAATATCCTCCAACAGTCAGATTATTCTAACACAAATGAATAATCCACCAGATGTGTCCCTATGACAACCGACTCATTACAGTTCTCACTTAAAAAGTATTTTTCCAGGAGCACATTTCATTAAAAAAAAAGACAAATAGAAAAGCCCGTATTAAGTTTTTATTTCCTTCTTTGAAGTAGTCCTTATGTTTGAAATGGGAACATTTGATTGTATAGCGTGTTTATAGACAGCAGTCTCAGAAAATCATTTTTGGTAGCCGTGGATTGTAAAATTGGTCTATTAAAGGTTTGAGCTCCAGTATTGCACAAATTAGCTACAGAGAGAAACCAAAGGCATGCTGGAAGCGCAGGCGGGGAGTTTTCTCAGCCGTAGAGGAATGCTCAGGGAGGGACGGCTGCAGATGGTAGAGGAAATGGTTCCACTGCCTAGAAAAGAGAGCTTTTAAGCTCAAACAACAAAGTTTCTGTTTCGACATGAGCAGTTTGAATGTAACCTGCTAAACCCGGGTTAGAAAAAGGTTACTACCCTCTACTTTTGCTGCATCAGCAAAATGCTGACCTCAATATATTTTCTTAACTTTCCAACAAGCTGTACCTCTTTATTAACATTATGTCTCATAAGTGCATCAACCTTCATCTGTTAGCTCACTGTCTACAGCTGCAGACTGCTGAGTCAAATGTCTGTAAAGCCCTGTTTTTCTTGCTACACTGGTTAAAATCAAAAGCAAACCAAACAACAATCTAAACCATCTGCTGTTAAAAGAGAAGTGGGTTTTTAAAGAGAATATTAAAACCCAGACTCATGAAAAAAATCCCCGCATGCAGGCTTGTTTTATTTGTTTGAAAAACATTAAGAATAGTTTTGTTGCTATGCTTATAGAGTTGTCTCTATAAAGCAGGGTGTCACTTAGTAAAAGTTGCGTTATTTCTTTTTTAATATGCTTTATAACATTTATAGCATTGATTTTTACTTAATTGTTTGCATCCTTTCAGTTGCTCCTATGTTTGGGGTCACTACAACAAGTCATTACGACTTGCTCACCGACATGGCAAAGTTTTCCAAGCCGGATTCATCTGCGATTTAAACCTAGGTCCCCCCGCATTACAGTTAGAGATTTAAACCATTTCACCATCATTATTGCCACCGTTGATATGGAGTTTCAAGTGGAAAAGTCAAAATTGTCTCTCCAACTTAACCTAATATGCCAATATGGCTGCTCTTTATCAAGCTTAGTTCAAACTATGTCAAAAACCCTGATTATTTGCATCTTATTAAGCATTTCAAACACACACAACACAATTAAATATATAATAATTTGGAATTTTTTACAGTATTTGAAAGAAAAAAACACATTTAAGGGATATGACTGTATACAGTAGTAGCCATTCAAAGTTTCCCCATTTTCCTTGAGTAGTCCTTGGCTGGTTCCCTATAGTTCCTTTTTAAACATCAATATTTGTACTAAGATATTCTTTCTGTCATGAGTTTTGGACATTAAGATCTAAAGAGAAACGTCATCTCCTGGTCAGACCCTGTAACTTAGGGTCTGACCTGGAAGTTGGAGGGCATTTTGCTGGGAGTCGCAGGGAAGTGAGCTGCCATTCGGCTGGAATTTGACTGGGAAGGGCTATTTTGATTGGCTGCTACTGTAGTATTGACCGCTAAGTCCAATGTTTACAACATTATGATAGTTGCATGTGGAAATGTAAAACATTGGCAACCAGTACTAACTGTGTCTGTCTTCTATTAATTGAAGGTAAAAGGTCAACAACCATGTTTCAAAGAAGACAAAGACACAATCTTCACTTCTTTCGAGCATTTTCATTAGCCAAATTTAGCAAGATTGGATATGTGCCAAACATCTTCTAATCACCTTTTCTGCATTCTGTGTCTCATTAGATCTGAGCAGGAGTGCCAGTTTGTCAGAGAAGGAGCTGAAGGAGGCAAGACTGAAGAGTCACATTATCGCCGCTCAACTTACCATCCCCTCCAACTCAGGCTCCAGCTCCAGGGGTGTGCAGCTTTTCAACCGGCGCAAGCAGAGAGTAAATGCATTCACCTTTGAAAGCTGTGGACAAGGGACAGAGGTGGACAAAACTGAGAATGTGAAAAGCGATTCCTCGTCTGACAAGCAAACCTGGGCAGAGAGGAGCAGTGAGGAAAAGGACGGAGACCTGAATCTGAAGAACAATAAGACACATTTCTTGCCAGCTGTAAGCACTCATTCAGTTGGTGACATAATGGATGAGCAAAGTAAGAATTTCATCAAAGAAGAAGACGTGGAGAACAGCGCTATCCAGGAAAGTCATTTCCTACCTGTCAAAGAGGAGCCGGAAGAAGAGGAAGAGATAAAGGATAACATTCATAAGGATTTAGAGGACTATACTACAAACGAAACTCCTCTGGGAAGTAATGACTCTCATCCAGCTGTGATGGCACACATTGAAGGGATGACAGAGACAAATGAAGGTCCCCAAGCTGCTGTTCTCACTGAAAAGGTTCCTAATGGCTGTCATAGTACCTCTGGTTTAGAGAGGATCTCCTCATTTTCCTCCTCCAAACAGACAGCTAACATCATCAACAGAACCGCTCGACCTTTTTTCTCCCCCCCAACGGTACGCTCTCCAGAGGTAGTCAGTCCTGCAATAGAGATCCCACCTCCACCATCTTATGCTACCCCTCCTCTTCCTCCTTCCACCCAGCCTGTCATATTCTCCCCTCCACCTCCACCACCATCATATCCAACCCCTCCTCTGCCAGCCTTCACAAACCGGCCCTCACAGACTATGTACTCAAGTCCCCCTCCATTGTCCCCTGTCCTGTCTCCCTCATGTTCTTCACCATCTAACCTTCCTGTCTCCCTGCATCCACCTGCGCTCCACTGTGGCCCTGCGACAGCCCCAAAACCAACTAATTTTGTTCCACAACCCACTAGCGAGAGAAAGTTGATTATGCCAATCAAAACCGGAATACTAGAAGAAGGTGCAGCCAGAAGGGCAAACAAGAAGTCAATGTTTACATTTAAAGAGAAGCAAGTGGTTGCTCCAAACCCTGAGCTGCTGTCTTTGGTGCAGGGAGTGGATGAAAGAAAGAAGCATGGACACAGATCAGTCCCTGAACCGGCATCTGAAGAGGAGTTACTGGCTTTAGGAGCAGAGGCCTCAAACTTCTTTGCCAAAGAAGAGGAAAAGACAGAGGGAGCAAGAGCTCCAGAATGGGCCTCATGTCTCAAGAGCTCCAAGACCCGACCAAGGCTGAACCACCATCCAGAGCAGACGCTCACAAACGTGTCGGGTAAAGGGGCTGAACTGTTTGCAAAGCGCCAGTCAAGGATGGAGAAATATGTTGTTGAGAATAAGAACCCGGGACAAATGAGGTCTCCCTCTCCCACAATGTCTTTGCCACCATCCTGGGTTTACTCATCAAACATGCCAGGAAGGGTCAAAGCAATTGCCAAGAACTCTGAAATGAGCGCACAGATCTCACAAAACCTAAAAGCCCAGCAAGTCGTGAGGCAAAAACCAAAACCAAAAGTTGCACTACCGGAGCCAGCTCCAGAGCCACCAACAACTTTAGAGAACGGTTGCTCCAAGATAGAGATGGACCTCGCCAGACACCGTCCCTATCAGCTCAACTCTTCCCTCTTTGTCTTTAATCCTGTCAAGGACCCACTCAGCACACTACCCAGAGGAGCACCTCAGGCCAAGAATCCACTCAGCAACCAAAGTTTTTCCAGACAGACTTCTCTGCCCAACACCCCAACTTCACAATTCAGTACCATGTCTCCTCAACTACCATTCACCTCCACAAGAGGATCAGGACATCCTTCAAATCAGACTTCTCCGCATCCAAGGATTACTTCTCAAATGTCTCCTTTTTCTCCAGAGCGAGTATCCTCCCCACAGTGTGGAATTCAGGCACCAAAGCCTACATATTCTGCCAAGAAGGCTGGAATTATACCACAGGTGTGGAGACCTACCATGTACCATTTTTAAATAAGGTTTTAGAGAAGGAACTCATTTATGTAATTTAGAAAGTAACATAAGCACTGCAAAAAGTGGTCGGGAAATAAGTGAAAATTTCATCAATTAAGTGTATTTAATCTTAACTTAAGTTGGTAAATAAGATGATTTGCCAATGGAATGAGTATTTTTACTCTTAAAATAAGATTATTAGATAATATGCACTTGAAATAATTGTTTTTTCTTATTTTAAGTGTAAATTGTCTTGTTTTATTGGCAAAGGGTTTCACTTACCTCCTCAATTCAAGAAAAAATGCACTTATTTAAAAAAAGTTACTTCTTGCAGTGAGGAAGTCTTAAAAATCAATGCACTTTGTTCAAACCCCTGGTTTTTTCTGCCTTTTCGTAGTACCAGCTTTTGCAGAAATTCACGTCACGTCCAAATTAACCATAAAACAGTGGATGACTCGGATAAGTAACTACTCATTTCAGTTAGGGATGAAATGGTCTGCAAATGATGAAATGATCTAAGTGAATGCATCCTAACTGATCTGCAAATAATGTAATTGCATTTTTTTCTGAGCAACCAGGTCCATTTAGCAGTGATTAGGTTCAAAGAAATAAAACTGCACTTTGCTTGAATCAATAAAAGTTGGCATTCTTAAAAGCAGTTTGGCACATAGGCAATCTAAATGTTAATTTAAAGAACATTTTGAAACATGTAAACAAACTTATAGGCTCTCCACTGGGTACCATCAGGATTCTCCCTAACAAAGGCGTCTAACAGATGGTCTAGCATCTGCTTTATGATCTATGATTTGCAGCTTAATGCTGTTCAGAGGCATGTAAACTAAAGCAGGGGGAATCTTTTATGCCGTTATGTCTTTGGGCGATATAGTCAGCTTTCTAGCTTCGTTTACCTGAACACATGGCATATATACTTGGATTCTGTGTCACTTTAAATCTGCATCAATTTGCATCTGTTATCATATTTCCAACTTAAAGAAGTAATTCTAAGGATTTTCTGTTGTTGTGTGTGTTTCTGTTTCTTGACAAAACTTTGATTTACTCTTCTATCCTGCTGTTTCTACCCACTGTCTCTTCTAACTGATAGTGTTCTTTGCAAATGTGGGTTTGTTCTTTTCTGATTAAATCTTTATGCTAACACTCTGCAATGACTTCCTTCTGTTTTTTCCACCCTCTCATTTCCTGATTCCACTGGCGTCTCTTAGCTATTTGATGTCTCTGCTAAATCATTTTTTGTATCTCCTTCTCTATCGCCGGGAACATACCATACCAGTGAATGTTATGTCTTTGTGAAACACAGAGATAGCTTATAATTCAGCTTTCAGCCTTGAATAACAGTTTTTTTTTACTTTTTAAAGCATTTAAATTCAGACAAATCTTAAAAAAAGTTTATTTTGAACAGTAAAGCTATAAAATTACAACCTTATATGAAAATATGTCGGATATGTGATATCGACAACACCCTCTTGACATATTCACTTCCTAAGCAAAGATAGTTAGTTCTTAATTGGAAAGGACACATGATGAAATGCAACCTTTGCTTGGGTTGAGTAACTTCATATCCCTGCAAAGGGTAACTACCCCAGGACCAGATGACAGTAAGCTGAGAGAGACACTTAACACTAGGCCTACATGTGCAAATGACCAGGCTTTCTAAAGAAACACATGTAGAGAGAGGGAATGTTTACCAATGGTGTTGATGGCAACTAAAGCTTAAAATAAACTCATATTTTACTTTTCTGACCATTTGATCGTTCTATTTGTTGCATTACCAAAACAGTCACACTGGAAAAATCGAAATCTAGATAAGTCATTTTTTCTTAAAATAAGTGCATTTCTTCTTGGATTGATTGTAAAAGAGACATCTTGCCAATGGAACAAGACAATTTAAAAATAAGACAATGCATTTGCATTTATTTCAAGTGCATATCATCTAATTATCTTATTTTAAGAGTAAAAATACTCATTCCATTGGCAAACTATCTCATTTACCGACTTAAATTAAGGGTAAATACACTTAATTTCAGAAATGTCTGCTTATTCTAAATTGTTTTTTCCAGTGCAGTCTATGACCATTTTATAAGGAACACCAAAAGATGTATTTGCTAAGTCATTCTAAATCTGCATTTTAATTTGATTAATTGACTGACTCTATTGATCTCACAGTGGAGAAATGTACTCGTTACATCATCTTAAATAGTCAAAAAGAGAAGAATAAGGTAGCAAAGGAAGGAAAAGGTACATAGGGTATATACAGTATTTACAGTGCGTCCACATACAGGTGCTGGTCATAAAATTAGAATATCATGAAAAAGTAGATTGATTTCAGTAATTCCATTTAAAAAGTGAAACTTGTATATTATATTCATACATTACATACAAACTCATATATTTCAGATGTTTATTTTGTTTAATTTTGATGATTACAAATGACAACAAATGAAAATCTCAAATTCATCATATCAGAAAATTAGAATATTACTGAAGACCAATAAAAACAAAGGATTTATAGAAATGTTGGCCAACTGAAAAGTATGAACATGAAAAGTATGAGCATGTACAGCACTCAGTATTTAGTTGGGCCTCCTTTGGCCTGTATTACTGCAGCAATGCGGCGTGGCATGGAGTCGATCAGTCTGTGGCACTGCTCAGGTGTTATGATAGCCCAGGTTGCTCTAATAGTGGCTTTTAGCTCTTCTGAATTGTTGGGTCTGGTGTATTGCATCTTCTTCTTCACAATACCCCATAGATTTTCTATGGGGTTAAGGTCAGGAGAGTTTGCTGGCCAATTAAGAACAGGGATACCATGGTCCTTCAACCAGGTACTGGTAGCTTTGGCACTGTGTGCAGGTGCCAAGTCCTGTTGGAAAATGAAATCTGCATCTCCAAAAAGTTGGTCAGCTGCAGGAAGCATGAAGTGCTCTAAAACTTCCTGGTATGTGGCTGCGTTGACCCTGGACCTCAGAAAACACAATGGACCAACACCAGCAGATGACATGGCATCCCAAACCATCACTGACTGTGGAAACTTTACACTGGACTTCAAGCAACGTGGATGAAGTGCCTCTCTTCTTTTCCTCCAGACTCTGGGACCTTGATTTCCAAAGGAAATGCAAAATTTACTTTCATCAGAGAACATGACTTTGGACCACTCACCAGCAGTCCAGTCCTGTTTCTCTTTAGCCGCTTCTGACGCTGTCTGTGGTTCAAGAGTGGCTTGACACAAGGAATGCGACAGCAGAAACCCATGTCTTTCATACGTCTGTGTGTGGTGGTTCTTGAAGCACTCACTCCAGCTGCAGTCCACTCTTTGTGAATCTCCCCCACATTTTTGAAGGGGTTTTGTTTCACAATCCTCTCCAGGGTGCGGTTATCTCTCTTGCTTGTACACTTTTTTCGACCACATCTTTTCCTTCCCTTCGCCTCTCTATTAATGTGCTTGGACACTGAGCTCTGTGAACAGCCAGCCTCTTTAGCGATGACCTTTTGTGTCTTGCCCTCCTTGTGCAAGGTGTCGATGGTCGTCTTTTGGACAACTGTCAAGTCAGCAGTCTTCCCCATGATTGTGTAGCCTATAGAACTAGACTGAAAGACCATTTAAAGGCTTTTGCAGGTGGTTTGAGTTAATTAGCTGATTAGAGTGTGGCACCAGGGGCCATCAATTTTGAACCTTTTCACAATATTCTAATTTTCTGATATGATGAATTTGAGATTTTCATTTGTTGTCATTTGTAATCATCAAAATTAAACAAAATAAACATCTGAAATATATGAGTTTGTATGTAATGTATGAATATAATATACAAGTTTCACTTTTTAAATGGAATTACTGAAATCAATCTACTTTTTCATGATATTCTAATTTTATGACCAGCACCTGTATGACTGCTTTTTTGTCACAATAATTGTTTTGTCTTTTACATGCATTAAAGGAAAATGATGTGTCATGTTTCAACAGGAATCAAAGGATTCATCCTGTGTGGACATTACTGGCGAAGCCCACACCGCATCCAGCACACCAAGCCTCACCAGACGCCTCAGCAGCCCGGCAAGCCAAACAACCAGACCGTGGCTCCCCAGCTTTCAATCAAGCCAATCACCGACCACCATCAGTGGATCCTTCCGCTCAGTCACGTCCCCTATCAACTTATCCAGTAATGCAAGATCACAGTCCTTTATGTCCAATCAGAACAGCCAGTTTTCCTCCGTCAACTCCACTTCTACACCTCCGCCTCCCAAAACAGCTACAGCCGCCTCTCCATGCTCTCCGCCTTGGGGTTCAAGATGTCAGTCCCCAGCTGTCAGCCAGTGTTCTACCACTGCATCTATTCCTTCTTTCAGACCCTCTGAAAACTCTAAAACCCATTATCCCATTTCACCTCCATGGGGTTCTAGATGCCAGTCTCCATCTGTAAGCAATAATAACAAGGCCCCCACTACTGCATCTTTTCCCACGTCCAGGCCCTCCATCACATCTGTCACCAATTCTCCAATCTCGCCTCCCTGGGGATCAAGGTGCCAATCCCCATCAGTGAGTCAGAATACCCCATCTTCCACCTTTTCCATTGGTCCTACATTCAGACCTTCCCAAACTCCCCCGTGGGAATCAAGATGTCAGTCACCATCTGTAAACCAGAATAATCAATCCTCCACCACCTCCGTCTCCCCATCCAGACCTTTGCAAATGTTTACAACCACATCAAATGTCTGCCCTCCATGGGGTTCGCGCTCTCAATCCCCTGCTCTGTTTCAAAGCAGTCCATCCTTTCATTCTACCGCCACCTCACCTCCTCCACAACAAAAGGACAGTCGCTGCACGTCCCAGATCGCTAACAACCTAGATTCAAAAGCAAATCACAGACTCCTGGCAAAGAATATCATCAATGCAGCCAAACGTAAAAATAGTCCCTCCCCTGGGGCACTGAGCGGCCATGGCTTTCCCATTTCACCTCTGGGAAACACCCAAAATGACTGGCAACCACCCATCAGCCCCTTTCAGCAAACACCCTCGGGGGCACAGTGTTCCACATTCACGAGCTCTCCTCCTACGCCAACTCAGAGAATCTGCTCCCCTGTAAAGCTCTACAGCACCCGCTCTCTCACCGACTCAGATGCCTCCGTTGAGTCTGAGGACTCGGGCCTCAGGTCGCCCGGCCTGCACTCCTACAACACCTGTCCCCGCGGCTGGAGCAGCAGTCTGAGGGTGAAAAAAAGTACTGTCTCCACTGACCTGTGAGGTTCTGATCCTACTGGATGTTCAATTTAAAGATAATTCCAGTATTTATAAACTATTTTTGGCAATGACCCGATTTCCTTACAGTTCAGCAAAGCCTTTCAGTAATTGTTGTGCCTAAACTGTAGTAGATGTCATATCAAGATAACTTTGGCTTTTTTATAGAGCTCACATTCCTTATATGCACTGACAAGAACAAGTTTTTTTTATGAAACACAGTTCCTGTGGCTTGTACGCTTTTTATATACCAAAAAGTGCTAAAAAAACAAACATAATCAAAGCTTTTTAATAGTCTCTGTTATACAATTGCAACAAACAAATCTTCACAGTCACTGCTACATTAGATATATTTAGAGGTTTAATAAAGGTCATAACCACAAGCGACTTAGGGCATAGAGTAGACACACATAAAAAACACCATTACATTCAAGTAAGTAGGCATTTCAGGGCTTGAGTTAAAGCATTATTAATATTCTGTATTTATGCCGTGCATACATCCATCACATTTGACCATAAAATCAGTTGCATCGGATTTCTTTTGTTCTCGACTGTATGCTGGAAAATCGCTCTGATCCCTCAAATTTTTTACCAACTGAAAGTTAAACTTTTGCCCTAGTCTCATATTTGTTTTAACCTCTTGCTGGCTTTACCATTCCCACAGCATGATGCTGCCACCATCGTATGTTGCAGTGGTTTGTTTAATGTTAATGTGCACTTGTCGTTTTCTGAAACACATAGCACCTTCCATAAAGTTTGCGGTTGTGTTGTGACAAAATGTAAGAACTCTTAGGACTGGTTTTCCCTGATAATACATAATAATTTTCCGTGTGATTCACATTCATTCCCGGTAAAGACAAAACAAACAAAAAAGAGAAACCATAGCAGAAACCCTGGATAATCTATATTCCAACATTTCCAGTTTACATTGAAGCCATTGAACAATTTTCGCAGTGCAATAACCGGTTGATACGTTGTATATATGTTGCTTTATATGTGGGGAATAAAATGAATGTATGCTTTACAGAAAGAGGAAAAAAAAAGTGTGTTAAGAAAGACGTTCGGAAGTGAAGTTTAAGTATTAGAGGCCTGCAAAACATTCTGAGAAAATTTGCTTTTTTATCACCATCAACCATTGCTGAACAGTTCATGCAAGTTGGAGTTTTTGGCGTAAAAAACTCAGTTTGATTAATGTTTAGTTGCAAAATAATTTATCAAGCAAGTAGGGAAGGCGGAACATGATTATATTTATGTTAAAAAGGGCAGAAGTATGTTGTAACCTGTTGTTTGTCAGAGAGAGATCAGAGGATTTGAATATATTCCAGCTGCATATTAAATGTTAATGTAAGTTGTAACTTTTCTTTTTATACTTGAATGCACTTGTGACCATTCCATATTAAAGGTAAACTGACAATATCAAAAGCTTGAGATGCTCAAATGAATCGAGTCAAATAAATATCTTTCTATAAGCCTTAAAGCAGACAATGCTGCATTTTTAACATGAAGCTGGCAATTAGCTGCATGTGTAAATACTCCCAGAATGATGCTTCTGTGTCAGGAGGAGTAGCTCTTCCCACCTTTCCTGGTTCTCCACCAGAACAACAAATTCCTTTTCATTCGCTGACTCACAGCATAACAGCATCAGCACATTGCTAAATATTTACTCAGTGTATCTTTTGAGTGACAGGAACTTCTGCTTCTTGGTGTCTTTGCTCCCTCAGCAGGTTCGAGCCTATCACTGTCATGGATAAATTTCAGCCCAGGTCACCTCTGACAACAAGCTGCAGATTTCCTCAAACAGATACAAAGAAAAAAGGAACATTTATAGGATTTGAAAGCAATCTGACTGTGTGGCTGTGTTTTATTTCTTCAATTCAACTCTTGTCTTATATAATTACACAATGAATAAACTAAAGCAAAATAAAACATCTGCTGAAAATATGCAGTTTGTTTCAATTTCTTTCTTAAGGGGGAATGGTGGCCTTAGTGGGTTAGGGCATTGCGTTTGGGCCCCGGAGGTTCTGAGTTCGATCCCCACTCCCACAGACTGCCACTCTGGGTTCCTAAGCAAAGACCCTTAACCCCACACTGCTCCCCATGCGCCCCATAATTGCAGCCCACTGCTGCCAAAGGGGAGAGGCTAAATGCAGAGGTGAATTTCTCCAGTGTGAGATTTAGTTCAATTAATATTATTAATTCAATTCAGTTTATTTCTATAACACCATTTCACAACACATGTCATCTCAAGGCACTTTACAGTTCACCAGATCATCCAGTCAAATTGATTAAAAGTTTTCTATCTACGGAAAACCAGTTGATTGCATCTACTCATTGACTCTTCAGCAATCCCTCGCACTAAGCATGCTTGTAGCGACAGTGGAGAGGAAAAACTCCCTTTTATCAGGAAGAAACCTCCAGCAGAACCAGGCTCAGTGTGAGCGGCCATCTGCCGAGGTCGACTGGGGTTTATTATTGTTATTATTATTGTTCAAAGCACTGACAATCCCACCAATAAGATCACAGTTTAAAAAAAGGAATATAATGTGCACATAAAATCAGTAAAAGATGAAAGACTAAACTGAAAGGAATAGAAATCTGCAGCTTCAGGAAAATATTTCCTGAAATATCTCCAAAATATTCAAAATTCCTTAGTTCAGTACAAAGAAAAAAACTTTTTTTATTTATCTTTAGACTTTAACTTTTTACTTTTTATCTGCTTTTAATCTGACATTCATGCAGATAATATAACAAACAACACAGTTATTGATTAAGCTCACCATTAAACACTATACACTAACAGTGTGTGAAAAAGTCCACCAATAAGAAATGAGCCAATCATTAGGGTGACTACCTCATCGAGCAGTAGCTTTAACAACTTTAACTTTAACAAGGATATACATCAGCTTTACATGGCAAAAGATGCTGCCTGTAAATAAAAAAAATGAAATATTTCTAACATGCAAGGAAAAGGCAAATATTTCAATATACATACAATTAAATTGAAATGTTACCGGAAAAAATATCTTAAAACAGAAGCCACTCCAGTATGTAATGGCCATTATCTTATTAATAATGGAGAGGTAGGATGAAAAAATTGATATTTTCTTATACTGAAAGAAACTGACAGCCTATTATAATCCCTACACTAGGTCATTTTTTCTTAAGATAAGTGCATTTCTTCTTAAATTGAGGAGATTAAAGAGGCATTTGGCCAATGGAACAAGACAATTTAGATTTAAAATAAGAAAACACAACTGCATCTTCTTATTCCATGTGCATTTCATCTAATTATCTTATTTTAAGGGTAAAAATACTCATTCCATTGGCATATTATCAAATTTACCTATTCAAATCAAGGGTAAATACACTTAATTTAAGAAATGTTTACTTATTTCTAGATCATTTTTGCAGTGTAATCCCAACCATGAAGAGAATAATCAGAGAAACTCCAACAGCACACTTGAAAAACAATCTAGAAATACATAAAAAAATATTAAATTAAGTGTATTTACCTTTAATTTTAGTAGGTAAATGAGATAGTTTGCCAATACAATGAGTGTTTTTACTCTTAAAAAAAGATAAATAGATAATATGCACTTGAAATAAGACAATGCAATTGTGTTTTCTTATTTTAAGTGTAAATTGTCTTGTTCCATTGGCAAGATGTCTGTTTTACCTCCTCAATTCAAGAAGAAATGCACTTATTTTAAGAAAAAATTACTTATCTAGATTTCCATTTTTTCAAGTGCAATAAAAGGCACCCAATGAATGTTTAGATATTTAAACATCCTTACACCTAAACAAATCAAAGGTCAGTTTAAAAAAAATCAAATTTATCTCTTTAAAATACTATCCTTCATATCTCAATGGTTTGCTTTAGGAGCTTATAAGCAACACCTGGAGCTTGTCTCTTCCTTTCCCTGCAACACCTGATAAGAAGAAAGGCCAGGTAGAGGTGAGTGCTTTCCATCTAAACAAGAAACTGAAAGGATGTAGAAGAAATGAAGGCCAATCCCCGGCTACTAAGGAATGTGTCTAAAAATATTTGGACGGATAAACAATAAACAAATTTAAAAAGAATATTCAGCTGGTCGGTAGCTGAATCAAACATCCCAGATAATACATGATCAAATGACTGGAATCATAGTCTCCATTAAACTAGGCCGACTGTATGGTGGCGGAGATTCATTATTTGGGCTTAGTGTCCACCCCAGGATTAAGAGACAAAAGCCACAAAGTTAAGAAAGTACTTCCTTTGACAAAATCATTTTTTAGGACAATTTCAGAAACAAAATTTAAACACATCACCACAATATAATCAAAATAATTAAGTACATGTCTTAGTACAAACATCAATACACAAGAGAATCAGTGTTATGAGTTCCTACTGCTTACAGCTTAGTCCTTTATTAATAAAAATGTTTGTTTGAGATTTGTTTTATTTGTTCTTACAGTAAGACTGTAAATGTTATTTAACAGTTTTTATTTTGATGTATTAACACAGAGCATAAAAAGAACTCTAGGATTAATAAATACTTTCATTATAACTTTATCTATTCATACAATTACTAAGACCAATGTCACATAATAGAACATATTCATTCTAATCAAAAAGCAGGAAATAATCAGCCGTTAAAGATAATCATATTCAAAGTAATTATCGTTTTAGTTATATGTTGATACTGATACAGCATTTTGCAAATAAAGTAATTTCTTAAATTTCCTAAAAGTCCCAAAACTAAGTATGTTCATGAAGAATGACAGACTTATTTCTTTGACTTTCTAGTTTCATGCCGAGTTCACCGTCGGTTCGTAGATGTGTGGGAAGAGGCATGTCCCATGAAAAGCATTATCCAGAGGTGAACAGATTACTTAAACCAGGTTCATAGACTGCCATCTGTAGGACTTAAGCCTGAAGTTCAAATTCGTCAACATGACCGGACCAGGATCCGTTCAAGCATGTCATCTGGATCATATTTCACAACTTAAAAAACATTATCTGCTTCTTTTCAAAATGCTATTACACTTTAGACCTACAAAACAGTAAAGTTACAGATAAGCAGTCGACGTGTTGCTTGGAAACTACACCAAGTTTATGTTGATCTAAACACTCAATAATTTCTCATTTTTCAAAATTTGATAATTTTCAACAAAAAAGAGAAAAAATCAAGAATACTTTTTTTAGTTATGAACCTTTTTTCATTGCGTTGCTACGCATTTGTTTAAACAGCAAACACGGACAATTAAGAATGTAATAAAATAATATTAAGTAAGATGAACAAACAGAGAGCAGAGCAAAACACCTCCGGTTTCCTTGATGAGTTTAGTTGTCAAATTTAAAGATGCGTAAAAGAAAATGAGGATTAACCAACTATTTGCTAGAAAAATCCACTCTGGCCAAACTGATTTACCCAATTAGCTTGTCAGATAATTAAGAGATGAGTGTCCATTATTAAAACCAGTACAGTTACTTTTGAGAATATTGAAATAATTGAAGAAAATGAAGGAAGATATGTGATGGCAATAGGAAAATATTATAAAGTATATTTTCCTCCTGAATCTAAATCAGATGAACATATAGAGATAGATAGATAGATAGATAGATAGATAGATAGATAGATAGATAGATAGATAGATAGATAGATAGATAGATAGATAGTTGGAGGAGATCTGAATAAGACTTTAAATCTGTGTCTAGATTCAACAGAGCTCTTAGTAAAAAAAAAAAACAAGAAATTTTTTTTATCAAATCCACATTCATATTATTCAAGAATTTAATTTTTTTAACCTTTAATTTAAATATGAAAAAGTACAAGGTTGCACGATTAGAAAAATAGATATTTTACCCTTTATTTAGATATAAAAAAATACTCAATGTAGAAGAGGGACATAATAGAGACTGAATTATAGTATTCTTAGTAGAACATGTATATAATTGGTATCTCATTCAATTATATAAAAGACAATGTGAAAACATCTCCTTCTTTACTTTGGAATACATGTAAAGCATGATGAAAGGGAGAATACAAACTAAAACCTTCTACATTAACATGCAAAGGACTAAAAGATTTACGCTACACAATTTAGAACTATCAACACTAACAAAAAAAACTCAAGGTCACTCACAGATAACCAAACAAAAGTGGAAATATAGAATAAAATGTACCAGAAAGAGAGAAAATTTATATACAGTACAAATACAAAGAAATACAAGTAAATACAAATATACAGTTATTGTTCACTGAACACAATTAAACAAAATTAAAAAATTAAACACAGTTTAAAGGAAAAGGGATCCTATATCTAAAGACGTATGTCATCAACTGGATAAAATTTAGTGAATTTTTTTAACCATACTGTGAAAAATGATGTTAACATCCTCTTATGAATAATGACGAAAAATGGAGAGCTTATTACGATCATTAAACCTTCTAACGTTTACTGAAGAATAAAGAAAAGATCTCATAAAAGGTATTTCAAAAGAAGAAAATCAATCTGCCATTAGTAAGCTTAAAACCATTAAGACCCCTGGTACTGATGGTTTTATTGCAAAAGACAAGTTAATCCTCATTCTTTTGAAAACATTCATATGAGTGCTAAGTGGTGCTGAACCACCCTTCCCCTCACGCTGGGAGGAAGTCATTTCTGTCATAGCTAAAGAGGAAGAAGATAAATCTTTTGTACCAATTATAGACCAATAAGTGGGTTAAATTTAGATTTAAAAAGCAGCATTTAAATTTTAGTGAGAAAAATATTCTACCAATACTAGACAGTATGATGAAGGATAGATTTCAAACGGATACAACCTTGTGTGTGTGTGTGTGTGGGGGGGGGGGGGGGGGATGTTATTTAAGGTTATGAAAATATTTAGTTTTGACAAATTGATTATTAGAGACTGTATGCTTCTATATAATAAACTAAGAGCAGGGTTGATAGTTAGTCCACTTTCTAAATCTTTTGCAGGGACATAGTCTTAGCCCATGTTGCTGTTTTAATATCTGTTACACCTTTGGCTCAATATATGCACAAAAGAATAATAAAAAGGGCATCCAGATAGATGCAGTCTGCTCGGTTTGCAGATGATATGCTGGTTTATCTATCAAATCGCACATAGACATTGTTGAAGTTATTTACCATTGTGAGAGAATATGGCTCAAATTCAGGTTACAAACTGAATGAGTTGAAATTTCAACCTCTGTATTTCCATTACGGTCCTCCTAAACATCTGAAATAATAGTTTCCCCCAAATAGGGACAAGAAGTCCTCAAAACATTTGAGACTACACCTACCAACTGACCTGCCTGAGTGAGAAGACTTCAATTTTACTTTCTTTTTTTTTTTTTTATAAAGCTTATAGTTAGTGTGGTTCAGGTTATCCTGAGCTATCTCTATAGTTATGCTGCTATAGGCTTAGACTGCTGGAGGACATAGGGACCACCATTTCATCATTCTGCTTCATTCTACCTCTATTCTTCCACTCTACAGAATCCGTTCTGCTCTCTCTGTCTTTTCTCATAGCAGCTTCATCTGGTCAGTTCCTGTTTGGCTGTGACTCCATCCTGGAGAGAAATATCAGCAGTGCTGCCAGCAGCACCCTTGTTTATAGATGATGGAGATCTGCCTGTTTTTCCAGGCATTGTCTTTTTTCTCTGACTGTGACTGGCTGGATATGCTCTCTTCATCCTCTGACATGGGAGCTGGCTCAGAGCTCATCTGCCTGGCTGTGTGTTTCCTGGATGGGGCCGCCTTTTACAGCTGCTTTTTGTGTCTCTGCTTCTGTCTCCTTGAACCCCAGATGGCCGCTCACACTGAGCCTGGTTCTGCTGGAGGTTTCTTCCTGTTAAAAGGGAGTTTTTCCTCTCCACTGTCGCTATAAGCATACTTAGTGTGAGGGATTACATTCGAGTCAATGAGTTGATGCAATCAACTGTTTTTTTAGATAGAAAAGACCCCCCGTAATTGACATTTATGTGCTATTTTTGCACGCCACGTATCACTTTACTTTACATATGCTTATATATACATACATATATATATATATATAAACAGAAGAGCTATGTGTATATATTTTATCTTTTTTATTTTTATTATCTTGTGTAGTTGGATGTGTATATATATATATATGTATATATATATATATATATATATATATATATATATATATATATATATATATATATATATATATATATATATATATATATATATATATATAAAACTGTAACTGGAGCGTGTAACAAAAGTAATTTCCCTCTGGGATTATTAAAGTATTTCTGATTCTGATTCTGATCCTGATCAACACCCTTAACCCCTGATTGCTCCCTGGGTGCTGCAAAATAGCATCACACTGCTGCCTAAGGATATGAGTTAAATGCAGAGGTGAATTTATCCAATGTATCAATAAAATTCAACTATTATTATGTATTATTAACGAGATGGAAAAAACAACTGAGTGAAAAAGCTGATTATTTATTTTTTGCTTATAAATCAGATTTTTGCACCAGTAAAGAATTACACAAAGTTTAATACACTGATTAAATCAGGATGTGCAACACATTTTACTCTATTTACAGATGAAAGAAGGATTAGCTTCCAGGACCTTAAAGAGCATTTTGGAATGATAAACCAGAATCTCTTCAGATATTTACAAGTTAGAAACGTTCTGCAAAAATGTTTGAGAAACCATATTTTTGCAAAGCAGAAATCCTTGAATATTGAATAGTGCATATAAAGATGTTCCATAACTAAGAGTGATGTAAAATATCTGTGTTCTAAATGTCACAATTTTTTGCACATTAAAAAAAGATGGGAAACAGCAGGAGGTGTCATTTTCACAACAGAAGAATGGGAAAGGCTCTTTTAACGGCAGCTACAAGCCGCTTATGTATGGAAGACAGCAGGAAAGTATGACAAAATCTTTTTGCAAACCTGCATGGAAATCTAAATATTCAGTTCATGCAGCTTGTTAGAGATTATATGTTGAGGTAAAGGCAAGTCTTTTTCATATCTTTTGGAGTTGCCCTTCCTTAGCCCCGTTCTGGGTAGAAATACATAAGATCCTGGAGGCAGGATCTGGGGGACATACACCTCCTGAAAACTAACTCATATTTGAGGATAACATTATCAGTAGCTGCTAGATAGAGTTTTGAAATAGCTTAGGAAGGATGTTGGTGAATTGACATAGTGTATGAAATCCTAATAATGGAAAGAGACTGTGGAGACTACAAATCAACACATTTAGTCAATTTTGATCAAAAATATTAATGTACATAGTGGGAGTATGGCCGTCTTATTTTTGAATGTGTTAATGTCAAAATTTTTCCCCACTTGATGTTTAATTATTTTGTTTAGGTTTTATAATCAAGGATAAAAAAAATGTGATTGACTAAAAATGTTCACCTGTGGAAACGTAAATTAAGCTTTCAAAGCTTTTGATTTTTTTGTATTGAGATTAGTTTTGGCTTTTTAAATTTCAAACATTAGTAACCCCCTTAAATTAACCCTTTGGAAACGTTCTAGATTTATAACTTAAATAACTAAAATATATTTTTGTAAGACAGGATTTATAATAATGTGTATAAACTTTATTACTAGATTATAAAACTGAGTGAGTAGGTTTGAATATTTAAACTGATTTAGTTAAATAGCTGAAATGTATGGAAGAGGATTAGGCCCAATGAAAACATAAAAAGAAGTTAACTGATTTTAAAATATTATTTCAGTTTACTATGGGGAAAACGTCAGAATTCTGACTTTTTTCTCAGAATTCTGACTTTATTCTCAGAATTATTTTTTCTCGGATTTCTGACTTCAATCTAAGAATTCGGACATTTTTTCCTCAGAATTCTGACTTTAATCACTGAATTCTGACAGCTAACAAACATGTTAGCATCAAGCTGTAACCATGACAGAAAAAAGTCAGAATGCTCAGATTAAAGTTAGAATTCTGAGAAAAAAGTCAGCATTCTGAAATTAAAGTCAGAATTCCAAGAAAAAAGTCAGAATTCTGACTTTAATCTCAGAGTTCTGACTTTAATCTGAGAATTCCGAATTTTTTCCGAACTTTTTTCTCAGAATTCTGACTTTATTCTCATAATTCAGACTTTTTTCTCAGAATTCTGACTTTAATCTCAGAATTATTTTTTCTCAGAATTCTGACTTTAGTCTAAGAATTTAGATTTTTTTTCTCGTAATTCTGACTTTAATCTCAGAATTATGACTTTATTCTCAGAATTCTTACTTTAATCTCTGAATTCTGACTTCAATCTAAGAATTCAGACTTTTTTTCTTCAGAATTCTGACTTTAATCACTGAATTCTGACAGCTAACAAACATGTTAGCATCAAGCCGAAGTCGTGTTTGTTTTAGAGACTAAACTAGCTCTCTTGTTTTAATCACCTTCTGCTCTTCCATTAATGACATAGCATCTCATCTTTGTCATTGAAGCTGACTGCTCCCACATCTCTTCCTTCATGGTGCCCATCTACATTAAGATCTACAAGTCTGAGAAAAGTCAGAATTCTCAGATTAAAGTCAGATTTCTGAGAAAAAAAAGTCAGAATTCTCAGAATAAAGTCAGAATTCTGAGATTAAATACAGAATTCTGACTTTTTTCCATATTAAACATAAATAAAATTAAAAAATCAGTTAACTTTTTATTTTCTCCTTTCAGTGGCCCTAATCCTCTTCAATAGAATGACCCTTTTTTATTTTTATGAAACACTTATTATTTATCTCACCCATGCTGCAAATAAATGAGATATGGAAGGAAGGAAAAATCTCAGTGATGACACAAGAGGCCGCTCTTGAGGTTAAAACATGCTAATAGGCTGGGATGTGTGGTTTGACAGCCAGGACTCTCTGCCCTGGGAAAAAAAAAAGCAAACAAAGATGCTGGCTCTATAAGCACCAGGCAGCAGGACAGATAACATTAGGAGGGTTTAGCTGAACGGCTACCCGCTTTAACACGATCTCTCTGTGCTTTTTTAAATGTTTTCACAACAGGGAGCCTTTTTTTTTCGTTGAATGTCGAAAGAATTTCAGATGGATGTGTGTGCCTTAGTTAGGTGTCCCTCAGTTGTTGTTGTTAGCCGCTAAAGCTAGCTGTAGAAGTTGCGAGCTAGCTGGCCTAGCAAGCAGCAGAAAGATACCGAGGGACTTCAGTTTAATGTGACATGCTCAGCTTTCAGCGGTGAGTAAACCGTTCAGCTCATGGAGACAGTGTGCCTGGATGGCAGTAGTTGGGGAACCGAGGCTTTAGCTGAGCTGTGGAAGTGCCTATCCCTATAGGTTACTTTAGCTTCCCACCATAGCCTCCTCCACTCCTCGGAAGAATGAGCAGAAAACATCATCACATAAAAGGAGCCGAAGTCAGCTGCTGCGTCAAATACTTCTTATTTGGATTCAACATCCTATTCTGGGTAGGTTGATTTAGTTTTTCTGTTTTTTATTTATTTATTTTATGTCCCCTTTAACGGCAATGAATGTAAGTTGAAGAAAAAGTACGAATTTTTCAGGTAAAGTTAACGTGTCGACCGTTGGGGTTAGACAATCTGTTCACAAGATCTACTTTATACTAATAATGTATTTTTTTTATTTACACATCACTTTTCTTACTCTACCTTTAAATTGTTTAACTCCAACTCAAAGCTGTTATTGTTCTGATTGACTTAATTTGTGCATTCTTGCATAACTGTTAAGCTTGTATTAATCTTGAATCATTTGATCCAATTCATTAGGTTTTAGTGAGCATTAAATGGATCAAAACTTTTTAAATCTAACCTATAACACCATCATTTTTTATTCAAAACGCATTCTAGTTGGTGTCTACACTGGAAAAACGATCTGGAAATAAGTAAACATTTCTTAAATTAAGTGTATTTATCTTTAATTTAAGTAGTTTAATGAGATAGTTTGCCAATTGAAATCGTTTTTTTACTCTTAAAAATGTGATAATTAGATAAAACACTCTTGAAATAAGACAATGCAGTTGTATTTTCTTATTTTAAGTGTAAATTGTCTTGTTCCATTGGCAAAATGTCTCTTTTACCTCCTCAATCCAAGAACAGATGCACTTATTTGAGGAAAAAATTATCTAGATTTTGACTTTCCAGTGTATTACTTTTTTATCATTAAAAGTCAAACTTGGGTAATAAATTCTTGTTTTAGTACCAGTTGTTAAATGAAAAGGTTACCTGTTTTTAAAAGAAAGCTCTTTAGTCTTTAAAGTAACTGTTGTTGCTTTTTTTTTTATTGAATATTTTGGTAAATGTCGGCTTTATTCTCAGATTAAAGTCAAGAAAAACTAAATAAATTCCTGCTCCTAACAAACAAACACAGGGACACATCATCGAGGAAATAACCAATCAGTCAGTCCATCTATTTACAGGTGCTGGTCATAAAATTAGAATATCATGAAAAAGTAGATTGATTTCAGTAATTCCATTTAAAAAGTGAAACTTGTATATTATATTCATACATTACATACAAACTCATATATTTCAGATGTTTATTTTGTTTAATTTTGATGATTACAAATGACAACAAATGAAAATCTCAAATTCATCATATCAGAAAATTAGAATATTACTGAAGACCAATAAAAACAAAGGATTTATAGAAATGTTGGCCAACTGAAAAGTATGAACATGAAAAGTATGAGCATGTACAGCACTCAGTATTTAGTTGGGCCTCCTTTGGCCTGTATTACTGCAGCAATGCGGCGTGGCATGGAGTCGATCAGTCTGTGGCACTGCTCAGGTGTTATGATAGCCCAGGTTGCTCTAATAGTGGCTTTTAGCTCTTCTGAATTGTTGGGTCTGGTGTATTGCATCTTCTTCTTCACAATACCCCATAGATTTTCTATGGGGTTAAGGTCAGGAGAGTTTGCTGGCCAATTAAGAACAGGGATACCATGGTCCTTCAACCAGGTACTGGTAGCTTTGGCACTGTGTGCAGGTGCCAAGTCCTGTTGGAAAATGAAATCTGCATCTCCAAAAAGTTGGTCAGCTGCAGGAAGCATGAAGTGCTCTAAAACTTCCTGGTATGTGGCTGCGTTGACCCTGGACCTCAGAAAACACAATGGACCAACACCAGCAGATGACATGGCACCCCAAACCATCACTGACTGTGGAAACTTTACACTGGACTTCAAGCAACGTGGATGAAGTGCCTCTCTTCTTTTCCTCCAGACTCTGGGACCTTGATTTCCAAAGGAAATGCAAAATTTACTTTCATCAGAGAACATGACTTTGGACCACTCACCAGCAGTCCAGTCCTGTTTCTCTTTAGCCCAGGCAAGACGCTTCTGACGCTGTCTGTGGTTCAAGAGTGGCTTGACACAAGGAATGCGACAGCAGAAACCCATGTCTTTCATACGTCTGTGTGTGGTGGTTCTTGAAGCACTCACTCCAGCTGCAGTCCACTCTTTGTGAATCTCCCCCACATTTTTGAATGGGTTTTGTTTCACAATCCTCTCCAGGGTGCGGTAATCTCTCTTGCTTGTACACTTTTTTCGACCACATCTTTTCCTTCCCTTCGCCTCTCTATTAATGTGCTTGGACACTGAGCTCTGTGAACAGCCAGCCTCTTTAGCGATGACCTTTTGTGTCTTGCCCTCCTTGTGCAAGGTGTCGATGGTCGTCTTTTGGACAACTGTCAAGTCAGCAGTCTTCCCCATGATTGTGTAGCCTATAGAACTAGACTGAAAGACCATTTAAAGGCTTTTGCAGGTGGTTTGAGTTAATTAGCTGATTAGAGTGTGGAACCAGGGGCCATCAATTTTGAACCTTTTCACAATATTCTAATTTTCTGATATGATGAATTTGAGATTTTCATTTGTTGTCATTTGTAATCATCAAAATTAAACAAAATAAACATCTGAAATATATGAGTTTGTATGTAATGTATGAATATAATATACAAGTTTCACTTTTTAAATGGAATTACTGAAATCAATCTACTTTTTCATGATATTCTAATTTTATGACCAGCACCTGTATATCAATTGTACTCAGATTGTTGAGACGAAGAATACTATCAGTGTTTTTAAGGCATTTACTCTCACATCCATCAACCTAGCAGCCACAGGCAGTTTTACCTCTCGTTTCATGCAACAACAACATTTATGTTGTATTCTGAATGCTGTTCGAGTCTCATTCCTCTTGCCATCAACAGTTTTTTTGTTTTTTTCCCACTGGATCTCTGATCTTTCTTTATTGTTTCCACGCTTTTTTGGCTGGTGCTAACTCAGAGAAAAGCTTATTTACCCCTGAAACTTGCAAAGAATCGTACCTTAGTATTGGAAATATACACTGAAGGTTTTATTTACTAACAAATTTAACAAAAAAAATAAAGTGTAAAACACAAAAATTATAAAGAATATGCAGGATACAGTAATCTTTCAGAAAACCTTTGTATGGAACTACAGTTAGCTACTGGAGAATAAATAAATTCCGATAATTTTTTACATTTCCATTTTCAACTAACGGCTGTGGTGTCTGTTGTGGTACTCTGTTGCTGTAGCCCATCTACTAGTAGGTTGCATGTTTTCAGGGAAGGTTGTTGTTTATGTTATTTTACAAGGAATAGGGATTTCAGTTACTGTTGCCTTTTTATATCTTTTTAAATCAGTCTGCCTTTGGTTCTCTTATAACTGTTCACACTAAGTGGACATTTTCTACTGTCACACTTTATCTATAAACCCAAAACTTTGAGTAGGAGAGTTTTACCAGTGGAGGACCAAGAAAGTTACGTTGCTAGCCAGGGTTTCCAATAGTTTGGTGGAAGTGCTTTTCTGCCCATTCAAAATACAGGGAGATGTGTGAGAGGCCTTATTTTTATGATAATTATTTCACAAAATACACAACCAATTCAGTTTATTTATATAGCGCCAATTAACAACACGTCATCCCAAAGCACTTTACAGTTCACCAGAGTATCCAGTCAAATTGATTCAAAGTTTTCTATCTAAGGAAAACCAGTTGATTGCATCGACTCATTGACTCGAATGCAATCCCTGACACTTAAGGGCTGGTTGAGCTTGTCGCAGATATTTTTGATTTATGCCCAATTTTGAAACGTGGTCTGCGTTATGTTACTCCACGCCACAATGTAAGACAGACAATCAGGAACTAGCTGTGGGTCCAGGTTGCTTTTAGTGTGACACACGCAGACGACCTGGTTTCTTAGTATAAATCAGCCTTAAGCATGCTTGTAGCGACAGTGGAGAGGAAAAACTCCCTTTTAACTGGAAGAAACCTCCAACAGAACCAGACTCGGTGTGAGCGGCCATCTGCCGAGGCCGACTAGGGTTCAAGGAGACGGAAGCAGTACGAACAACTTTACTGATTGGTTGTACTTTTGTTTGTTTGTTTTAGTCTACAGACTATTTCAATATTATTTGGATGATCATTGTAACTATAACATTTCGATGCTAACATTTTGATTACATGAACAAAGATGAGTAGAGGGACCTAAAGATAATATTTAGGTCTTGCAATTCTAGTGTGAGCAGCTAAGGCTATGTTCACACTGCAGGCCTTGATGCTCAATTCCGATTTTTTTGTAAAAATCCGAATTTTTTTTGCGTTGCCGATCTCCTGTGTAAACTGCATTCATACAGCTTATGGGTCCGGCATGCTCAGTAAAGGACGCAATGACATCACAAGCAGCAAGCTTTGTGTTTCCGGAAGTAAACATGTACGTAGTACTGGAGCTAATCTAGCGATGTTTCCAAACCTTAAAACCTCAATCTTTTCAAGATGGTTTAAAAAAAATACTGCTCTCCGCATCATCGTCCGCCATGGTGTTTGTTTTTCTTGCCACTTCTGTGTAGCAAGACGCAGAATAGTGACCTATGTCTGTTACTAATGGCATTCAGGTCAGATGAATGCGACCTCATCGTTCAGACACAGGTCGCATTGAAAAGATTAGATTCGTATCAGATTCAGGACCACATAGCGAAGTGGCCTGGGTTGGATTGGAAAAAATCGGATCTGTGTTGTTCAGACTAGGGATGCATGATATTGGGATTTTGGCCGATATCCGATATGCCGATATTTTAAAACTCATGTAGCCGATAACCTATACCGATACCGATGTTAAAGCTGGACAAAAATAAGTAGCCATTGAAAATAGCAGTTTTGTTATCCATTTCTGACACTTTGAAAAATAATATACTCAAATATATTTTCATATGCTGATATCAAATTGACTTTTTAAAACGCGGTATCGATCTATTTTACTTTCAAAATCTTGTGAAATTTCATCGTTCTGTTACAAACTCGTGATATTTTGCAAATTCTTGTGAGATTTTGTTAGTAAAATAGGTCGATACCGCGTCAATATATCAACATGTAAAAATGTGGCAAAATTTCGATGACATATAGCAATATTTCATTAGTAAAAGAGATTGATATGG